TTCTTTTATATACCAGCGTAACCTATTTCTAGCAAGAAGTAGAACATTCGCCAAAGTACATGATAGTTCTAGAAACAAGAGAGCGTGAGAATTGTCACGTGATCTCGATGACGCAACAGAATCAAAAGATGCTTTTAAGAATACTACCTCAAAGGAATCTTTTCCGTTTAGTGCCCACCAACAGATCGTTTTGAAAATAACACCAGTAATGCAGTAAAATAAAACAACATTATATGATATTTATTAGCGAATTCTGAGATATTAAACAATATTTTGTTGAATAAACCTTTATCTTTGTTTCTATTTCTCCATATAAATTCAGCAAGATAAGAGTCAAGCATTTGGCGACGAGTCCTCATTGACGCTTATTTCTTCGCTTTAAACTGTGCCACATACTTTCAATATTCCGGGTATGGCTGCAAGTTTCAGGGTGTACAAAATTTTCACTGTGATTTACAGTTTTTTTGACGGTAAAAATAACCTTCCATGTTCGGGATGTTGCGATGTGCTTTCCACAGAAAGGATCATTTTTTGTACTGTTGGTCGGAAACAAACGGAAAATATCTCCCCCCCCTCTCAAAGTTTAACTTATCTATCGTGAAAAGCAGCAATTAAGTATTTTTACCGTTATCTCATTCAGTAAAATTTCTTTTAAGCAGTAATGGGTGATTGGCAGGTTTAATCGAGTGAGTTAAATGGATTTTCCTTCTCTTTTCTTTTTCAATGCATTTTTTTTTTTTTACAATGAAAACTAACATGATCCTGAAAGAAATGTTTACTTTTTCACAACAGAAGTTTAAACGATCTTCTATAGATTGTTTGTCATACGTTCCTTCCACAGCGGAAATTCATATAATCCTTAAAAGGTTTGTTGCTTGTGTATTACTAAGCAATTAAGTGTTACAGAGTTAGTAGAAATACCTTTATAAGAGAGATTGTCATAACGAAGAGAAAACGTAGTTATATTCCCACTTAGTTTCCTTGACAATCCTTGTTTCATTAAGAATTTAGTAGTATTTATCCCTATGCTTTTTGGCTTAACGAAATATTTATGGACGTCACGTTTTTACTGTACAATGGATCTTTTTACAGTTTAATATTATAATTTATATGCATATACACATATTGTATACATATAAATAATTAATATAATTCAATTCAATTTTCTTTTTGTCCCGAACATTTCATAGAATTAGAAAAGCAGAACTTCACAACTGTAATATATAAACTTAATAAATGAATAATTAATATTATTGTACTGAAATAAGCATGCAATGGACGAGTTAAAAAGTTATTGGCTACGACGGAAAAATATGTGAGCACGTGACAATCGAAGAAAGATTTATTATAACTAATTTTACTGGCACAGAGCAACAGTGCGAGGTAGACAGACACACAACATGAAGTTTCAAGTAAGAGTTTGTTACGACAGCTGAAGTC